TGTGCCTTCACGGCGGCCACAGCACGAATGTGTCGCACCCCCATGCAACACTACCTACTAGGTACTATGGTACCATCACCACCACCACCACTACCATTGTTGGCGGAATGTGTTTTGAAATACGAAACGGGAAGCAAAAGCGTAATATCCGTTATTTAGTATGTCATTTTATGCCGTTTCGAACATTTTTAGCAGTTGAGGACGAGCAGTAAAAACGTAAAAAGCGTTCGACGAAAAGCTATAAAGTAACGTTTTCATCAACGTTAGTTACGTACTTCGTTCGTCGGAAAACCGATAAGCCGAAGAGCTTCTTTGGTGGATAAACGTGTAATAACATACCGCATGTTGTTTTTACTTCTCTTGAAAAAAAAAAGTGTAAGAACGTACTACAGCAACCGACTTTTGTAGAAGATACAAAGCTTTTTCATATTTCGATCAGTGTGTTTTAAAAAAATATTTACAGTTTCGTATAATGATCGAAATTTCTTTCGTTTGGTGTAAGCACGTTTGTTAGTAGGTCGACCATCAGATACCAGACAAGATAAGCAAGAATGCAGTAGAAGGGTCTTGTCCTAAGCTAGAATGTTCTCGAATACCTAAGTAGAATGTTCTAGAGTGAACCTGAAGAATCGAGAACATTCTGGAATATTCGAAAATTAGGACTTTTTATATATATTACTATCAGTCTTCTAAAAATTGTTTTAAATCTGTATAATCTTCAAAGAAAAACGAAAACAGACCAACGGAATGCCGTAAACTCTATTTGACTTTTAGAGAACTCGAGTTTTATAAAAATTTTATAAGTGAAGACGGCGCAACTAGGACAGCATATTATTCGATATTTTGAAATTAGCTGGTAATATAATTGAAAGGTCTAATTAATAGATGGACGGGTTCCTAGACCTACTTTCGATATTATTTAAATTTTGATATATTCGAAATAGTACTAAACAATTGCAGTAAAGTAGTCGGGTTTAAAAATCTATATATCCTGTATTCATTTTCCGAAAGGTACATTGTTATTTTAAAAGTTTGACGTTTAGAATACTTGCATCGCAGACTACAGCACCCATCCTCCCAAATTTGAAAGGGTGCACCTAGTAAGGGATCATAAGTTTGTTTAATCGATGATACCGCGAATTTCCGGGAAATTCTTAAACACCTTAGGGCGCCTTTTCTGTCTTAAAAACGAAGGACAATACATTAGCAATTTCACGCGCAACGTCCTCCGAAAGCGACCGAAATTATTTATTTGCATCCAACTGGGAGGATGTGGAACACATGAGCAGAATGCGGAGTGTCAAAAACACTCTGAATCTTTTCATTTGTCGAGTTAACGATCGTTCAATGGATGTGTCTATTGTTGCAGATATCCGAACCAAATGCCATTCTTTGCCTTCTTTCTTATGCCTCATCTTTTCTTATTTAACTTCGGCTTTTAAATAGGTTTGATATTTGAGAGTTTACGAATTATCTTTTAAGTACGTATGTACTGTAAAAGATTACGATTAAGATGTTAAAAGTGCAGATCAGTTACTATATACCTAACAAAAATATTATGGCTTATAATTATGAACAAATTAACTTTCAGAAAAATTTATAGCAAATAAATATCACAATTTACTAGAACACCTTCATCTTCTAAAATTGCCAACACATATACTCCAATTATATTTGTATGTTTTGATTCTTTAGCAACTCAATTTCAACGTTTTCGTATTCGAGAAGAGAAAGCAATTTTCCAAAAATTTCTACTTGATTTGAAGACTTTCTGCATATGATATTCCAATCTATTGTTGTTCAAATAAGTTATTGTGACTTTCAAGGAAGAGATTTTGTATTCAGAATTCAGAGTAAATATTAGTGACAGTCTGGCGACTCTTCGTTTGGTAGAAAAAGAGAAGGTGGAGGGGTCGATTTAAATCTGATTTATTCCATGCGGAATAATCGGTTCGGCAACGACATACCGCCGAGCTTATTGTATTTTCGGGTCACAGATTTTAAATATACGAGATTATTGATAATCTCCGTAGGCGCTTCGCTACCGCGAGAGGTTTTGGTTTACTGCGTTAACGTAAACCTATTCCCGCGAAAATATTTCACTTAAACGAAGCCCCAGGTATACACCTTGTAATATACACCTACGGTCTCATGTTGCAGTAAATTATCAAGCGTTTCCATTTTGGATATAAATATATATATATAGTACTGTATTCCTGAGAATCTCTCAACTTCAGGGAAAACAAATGACGAAGATACGGACTAAATGAAAAATGATCAAATTTCCAAAAGTAGGTAATCCGTAATCAAATCAAATAAAAGCATTCTTCGGGTAATACATTACATATTAAATAACAAACTTGTAAAAAATTAATAAAGATGAACTCAGAGAAATGGCTTAGAATTGATCAAAATTGGTGCCCAGTCTTGTACCGGGAACTTGCAGTACTATAATAAATTCTTAATCAATTTTAATAATTAATTATTTATCTAACAGGACAATTTTAAGAAGTCTCCTTCAAATTATGATTCCCATCAAATAACAAAATATGTAATAGTAATAAAATTTTGTTATTAGTTTGTTCATTTTAAGGGTAATTATCTAAAAAGAAACAAAAAACAATAATATTCTGTGGCTAATTAACTTTAGGCTTCTATACGTACTTTCGATTCCAGTTGAATGATGATGGTTAGCACGATTTTTTTCTCTCAAAAAATCATTGCTTATGTAACTGACTGATATCGGACAAGTAACGGACAGTTACATTACATTGTGTTGATCTTCTTAAAGATTATTGTCGGCTTTCGGGATTTCGGTTTTCGTTTCCGACTTCTGAAGATATAAATAGTATTTCCAAGCTAAAANACCTGCAAAACATACAGACACATACATACATACATACATATGTAGGTATACAGGCATACGTGTACGGTGCCATTATTGGTAACGCATCCAAACAAAACTCGGGTATGTTACTATGCGATAACGCCCGCACACTGACAGGATAATAATTCGAACAAATGGTAAACGTTACTGACAATGCAATTGTTACTTCGATCGTACCGTTCTGATTGCATAGACGCTACAGTGGAAGTAATATCACAACAATACGGATTTATTAGGCCGATAATTTTCGTATTTTTTGTTATCTATTTTTATACGAAACAATGCATGAAAAATAGATATATGTACAACTCAGTGGCGGCTCATGAACACATTAGGGATTTTTTTTGTGTTAGAACTTCTTATAGTCTCAAAACACAAAAAAATCTCAAAATGCAATTGTTTACAAAAAATAGAAACTACTTTAGGTTGTACTTAATTTATTTATTTATTCATCAATCTCTATTTTGTCCCCTTCGGAGTAATCCCCACTAGATATTATACACTTGTGCCAACGTTTTTTTTCCAATCCTCGAAGAACTTCAAAAGATCATTTTTTTGTGATCTTGTTCAGCTCCTCCTTCGATGCCGTCTTTATCTCCTCAATTGTAGCGTAGCGTCGTCCTTTCATGAGCCTCTTCAGTTTCGGGAATAAGAAAAAGTCACAGCCGGCCAGATCTGGGGAATACGGTGGCTAAGCGAATTATTCATGTGTTGTTTTTGGCTAAAAATTCGCGCACAAGTAACGATGTGTGAGCAGGGGCAAAAGTCAATTCTTGTTCTTCCACAAATCCGGGCGTTTCTGGCGGATTGCTTTGTGCAAATTGCACATAACTTGGAGGTAATATTCCTAATTGACCGTTGTACCCTGTGGCAAAAACTCATGATGCACCACGCCCCTGCAATAATACAAAACTGTAAGGAAATCTTTCACATTCATTCGTAATATGGCGCGCTTTTTTCGGTCTTGGCTCGTGCAACAGCTTCCATTAGGATGATTGAGCTTTGGTTTCAACGTCATAACCATAAATTCATGATTCGTCACCAGTAATGATCCTCTGGAACAAATTTGGGTTGTTGCGGACAGATTCCAACAACTTCTTAGCAATGTTAATGTGATACTTTTTTGACGTGACAACGTCTTATAATTCGATAGAGCCGGCTGCACGTACGAAAAAACATGACTCATGCGGCGTTACCTCGCTCTGAGGCGTTCCATTTAAGGCTTGAAGTGCAAGCGAGAGCGCGGAACGAGAGACAAAGAGGCACAATCGGCCTCCGCGTTCGGCAGCGTTCGACATCTGTCTCTCTCCTACTTGAGTGAGCGATGCGTCAGCGTGGACAGCTGCTATACAATAATACATTTCCATTTACCTCCTTCTCTATATCCATACAAAATATCTATCAAACAAATAAAATTAAAATTTTCTTTTGAAAAATGAAACCATTTAATCAGTATTTTCTTATGACGTGGTCACGTTCAACTATCGTCAGTAAACCAACTTTACAGACAACCGATTTTTTAGTAGAAAGTAAGCAATTCTGGTGGGAATTTCGCGGCGACCCGTCTCATGCCCGAATCATTGGTAAAAATCGAATGGCAGGAAGCAATCGATATGCTTGGGTCCTCAGCAACTTTTCTAACGGTGATTCGCCGCTCTTGATACGCTCTAGGTCCGGTAAAGTATTTTTACAGGATTAACAATATGAGTCTATTACATTGATGGTGAGTTTATCCCACCGGTTTCGGTCTTATCATGCTCCGGTACCGACACATTTTAAACAATATTTTAACGAAGCGAGATCAGACTTGTCTCAGCTTGTACCGGTAGTGTAAACACGTTTTTGACCGCGTCATCATCGGTGAATTTATTATTTTTAAGGGATGATATGGATGCTTCAACGTCCATCTTTTTTGGATTTTTTCATAATCTGGATTCAAAACAACAATCGAAAAACGATTGTGAAAATGAGGAGATTTATATCGGACAAAGGGCGAAACGAGAACGTATCGAGAGTGTGTGGGCTGACTTGATGACTAATATGATAATCATGTTTTTTAATAACGGTTTATGTTTGAAAAAAGTTTTAAAAAATAATCTCCTGTTTGTTGCAGGAACAACTACTAGAACCGTTGAGCCCGGGGATGTTATTCAATGGTGAGTAGTTTCTGGGAAAATTTTCTTAATTATTTTTAAATTAAAATTCCCCAAGCACTTTGTGTAGGTACAGGATAATTCAGTCTAGAAATTTAATTTTCTAAGTAATTTTATAACTTTTTGTTCTTGTACCTGCAGCCATCATTTTGCTCATAACCTTTTTTTACAAAGAGCCGTTGGGCGGAAATATTTAGTTTTCATTTAAAAAAGGTGTAGTATTTTAGTATTTCTTCAAGGATTTTTGAGGAAATCGTAAGGTCAATATTAATGACTGTACTTCTCATCGTATGATAAATAATTCCTTAATAAAGGATGTTTAATATAGCGAATGGTTATGATTATCAAGTAATCTTTAGGTGAAAAATAATCACCCGAATATTATTATTTCCATTTGAGACATAATAAATTTCCAACATAGTCTTAATTAAGTTTTCATAAGGTTTGTAAGGTGACGAAATCTAGGGATCCTCTAAAGAAATTTTAATTTGTATTTCTATTTTGATGTTAGTAAACAAAATCAATTAAAAACTGAGGTTAAGTACTCTACTACATAAAATTTTAATAAACGGTATTAATGGTAAATGCTTAATGATGTTCAGTGTGTCATTATAAACAGTTCAATGTTTAAAAGTCGAGCACGATAATGAAGTTAATTTTATCCTTGAAGTCCCAGGTAGTTAGAGTTTCTGGAAACAGCAAATATCCTTTAAGTAAACTAAAACAAAGTTCCTAATGTATGTTTTGACTACAACAAAGTTAAAATGCAAAGGGTGTCTTTCGAACTTTCCGAATTTAACTTCTCTCAGTAACATCGGCCGGTAATTATTAAAAAGGACAAACTTTAAAAATTCTGCACTGCCCTAATTAGTTTCAGGAAGGATAACAAAGGAACTTTGTCGGTTTTCGAATCGTGAATGTAGCAGCAGTATCATGTACGTAAATAGTAGACGTATTCCGAAGGTGGACGAACCCGATTTCGTTTAAAGAAATGAGAGAAAGTTAATAATTTATTTGAAAAGTTTAAAGAACTGCTCGAATTTATAACCTCTTATAGATTTTTATGGCCGACTTCATCGAACTTTCATGCACATTAATGGAGAAAATGTTTTCTGTGTTATCTCGAACGAAGATTAAGTTTAATATTAAATGATAATAAGATTGCCACTCAGCCCTAACTTGAGGTAATAAATTTACTAAGTGCCAAAGAGGCGAGATTTTTAACATCGACTTCACTTCCTGAATACCTTTACCAATACATAAGGCATTTTACTAGTAAAAATACGTTTGCAACAACTCGATAATTGTGACGGTTGAGAACTTTAGATTACTTTTTAAAAACTGAGATATAATTAGGTATTTATTAATTAATAATTAGTGATGACCAAGACTAAAACCAAGACCGAACGAACAAGAGCAAGACTGCAACCAAGACCAAATATGCAATACTAAACGAAAAATTATTACTTCTGGTGGAGTTAAACTATTAGAAGCAACTTTAATATATATTCCTTTCTTGGAACAAAACATTTTTAGTATTTGAAATTTTCAATTTGCATTACTAGATTTCAACACTAACGATAAATATAACAAGGAAATGTATGCTGGGACACGTAGTAGAAGAGAAACTTCAACGGACAAGTGGAAAAACGAATCGCAACACAATTTTTACTTCAAGTTTTACGGGCAGGTTTTTATATTGGACAAGTACATTAACAATCTACCCGTAAAACCCCTTTTTCTTGTCCGTTGAAGTTTCACTTCTACTATGTGTCTTAGCACACATTTCATTTTCAAAGGTTTCATAGAGGAGAGCAGAGGTAAGAAAACAACAGCTGAGCACAGCACATGCCGCCGGGACTGTAGCGGACTCCTCGCTTTCCGCGCGGCTGCGCATTATTCCATCTAGTACAGCCGTTGCCCTCTCTCACGCGGTCGTAACGCTTTTACGTGAACAATCGTAATACCTTGTCTATATAGAAGTTTTACTTAAAAAAAAAAAAAGAAACTACCACTGTTTGAAAAAAGGGATCTACAAGAATGTCCTCGGAGTATGTGTTCTTTGTTCTTATATCTGGATTTTTTACTTCTTTCAAATGCCTTGTACTATTTTGTACCCTAAAAGGTCAATTTATGAATTGGAGGAAGGACACGTCTCGTGTTTTCATAATTTTCACAATTATCGACTCTATTTCCTTGAAAAGTCATGACAAATTCGTATATATAACAGAAAATTTCTGCATTTAATAATTGTATCGGTAAATAGAAAAATTTGTGCAGAGAAGAATTATTAAAACCAATACTTAACATCTTGGTCTAGGTTTTGCTTTGCTCATCAGTATTAATAATAATGAATAATACAACTTTAACGATGAAACCTACTATTACTCGGACTTATATCTAAGTTATGACCGACTTTTCTTATTGTCGTTCATTGTCATATTAAAATTATTCACTTTGCCTGGTGGTTACAGAATAGAAGTGCATAGTGCATACCATACGTCGACGTTCTCGGTACATTTGCAAGGAACGATTATCGAGGAGTGTTTCTGGAGATAGCTTTACAGTGCGCTCATGCAAAATGTTGTGTCATCGTTATTCGTGTTGAAATATCCCATATAAGTCGGTTTCAATGGCGATAAGATGTCATCGCTACGAAATCCTCGAAATATCCGGCTTTAGGGGAGTAAAGCTTTCCAAGTTCTCAATTGTACGAACAGAGCAGCGACTTGCTATGACTGACGGCAAAATAAACTCTTATACATATAAATTACAACCCATAGCAGATAACTAGACGTACAATCACTTGCAGTAGAAATTTAGATAGTGAGAATAATCATAATCGATAGTGGATTCTCTTGAAAAATACCCCAATTGGCGAATTTAATTTATAATTAAGCATTGTTTAAACTAATTTCGGTAAATATATCTGGAGTGACTTAAAATAAGAGATCCGGTAAGGGCTTTTGTAGACGGTGCGATTTCGTTGCGACTTTTCGTTAGCGACCTATCACGATGCGATAAAATTTAGTTTCAAGCTATTGGTAATAAGAAATTACTTTGGTTCCCATGTGATGGACCATACTAGTCTATCCGTTTGTATCTATAATGTATTAGCAAGTAATAGAAAGAAGTCACTTCTATGCTCGCAAACGGTTAATTTAGAAGATTTGGAGCGCGGCGTTGTACGGGTACGAAGCATGGACAGTGGACGCGGCGGAGAAGAAAAGGTTAGAAGCGTTCGAAATGTGGTGTTACAGGCGGATGATGAGGATAACGTGGGTAGAAAAGGTTAGAAATGAAGTAGGCGAGATAGGTTGGTAGGACACCTTCTCAGGCATGAAGGTCTCGTCAGAGACATATTAGAGGCAGAAACAGGAGTTAGGAGGGGTAGAGGTAGACTTAGATTAGATTACTGTTCGCAAATGGTTAAGGATGTGTGTTGTTCTAGTTTTAGGGAAATGCGAAGTTTAGCTCAGGATATGAAAGAGTGGAGGTACGTGTCCAACCAGTCTTAGGACTGACGACCCTATGATGATGAGCAAGTAATAGTCTGACATATTGTTTGCCGTGAAATTACCAGTAGTATTTTCTTAAAATGTTGGTTTTAATGGAGCGAATGATTCTGCCTTGTGCTATGAAATTCCTGTAACCTGCATACAGTAGAAGAGCATTGATAATCAAATAGTCAAGGTGGTTGCTATCGAAGACTATCGCAGAACCTGACCATTGGGACCGAATCGTCCTATTATTGTTTGCAAAAGAACATTCAAGAGATATTTGACTATCTTGTTGCATTTGGAATTATGTAATTTTCCAATATAATAAAATAAAATAGGTCGAATGATGATAAGTAACGTATAGGTAATTATCCAGAATTGGGGTTCCAGACCAAAATACCACTCCAAAACTTTTTTTATCGATTTCTGGTCATTCTACATAACAGAATTAGATATTAGAAGGTGGGGTAAACAGTTTTTTATGACTTAATAAATTAAAACGAAAACTTTTTGAATGATAATTTTTCAAAATTCAAATCACAGTTTTAAACTGTAGATATGGGAAGAGATGGGTGAGGAAATTAAGGGCTGAAGGGGGGGGGGTGTTAAAACTTATACAAGCTTTTAATCTCTTTGTCTCATGATTGTCACTGCATGAAATTCTTTTATTCTTATTAAAAGAAGAAATAGCTATGCATACACGACCTTATGACGTATGCTGTAATAAAAAAGACGTGTCTCCACAGCCTCAAATATGATCTTTTAACCCTCAGAAATAACTAGAAATCTATGAAAAAACTTTTGGAATGGTTTTGTTTTGGAGCCCCAATTCCAGGAATTATTACAAAATTCCGATATTGTACTAGGAGATGTATAAAACTTATACTTTCTGTGAATAAAATACTCCAACATATCAGCCAGGGGTATTGAATAAACTCCTGTCTGTCATAAATCTTCCTAACTAAACAATGATGTCACCACTGCAGGTATTTATCCAGAATCCAGGGGCAATTTTTAAAAATTATCATGCAAAAAATTTTTTTTTATTTATGAAGTCACAAAAAACTGTCTCGTCCACCTTCTTATATCAAATTCAAATTTTATTATCGATCTGATTCAGTTGAATTCGGTTATAAAGAATGCTTAGTTTTAACGGATCACGTGCTATTCCTACTTGGACATTAAGAACACGTTTATAACGAACGAACCGGGTTTTGCGATTGGTTTTGAATGGAAAATTGGCAGGTCTGATCTGTTATAGCAACCAATAGTAATACATATTTCACTATAAGAAACTATACAAGTTCATATAAAATAGTATGATTCTGTATAAACGTACAAAATATAGCCATTGCGATAATATGTAGGTATCTTTGATTTTGGAATAAGTTCTATATTTATAGGCTGTTTTTTGTATATTTCTGAAATAAATGTTGTTTCTTTAATAAAAATCGTCAATAACGAACCCCCACCGAAGAAAATGCTTAGCTCCTTCGTATTTGT